ACATCAAATCAATAGTAAGATACTTTTTGGGCAGCCTATATCTTTTTGCTAAAGACGTTTCTGTAACTTTTGCAGTCAGAAATGCAAGTTAAAGGGTTGAGGGGTTTTTTGGGGTTTTTTTGTTTGTTTGTTTGTTTGTTTAAGTCCAGCTGTGGCTCATTCTCAAAATGACTTAAAATATCATGTGTGTTTTGCATTTACAAAGCTAACGCAGGCCTCTTAAATGAGACCTTACATAAGACCTTTATTCTTCTGTTTGTGTCCAGATGTCCAGGCAAAATGATATTTTGGAAACTTTGCTACTTTTGGTAGCAGTGGCAGCCCAAACAGCCACCTGTAATTTCTGTGCCACATAATGAATGAATGTGCTGAGCTCAGGACTGAACTGGAGCTCCAAGCACCCAACAAGTGCCAGCCCTGAAAGGTTGCTGCTGACATGAGAAGTACAGCCTGCTCCTTTCATTTCCAGCTTCTACATCAGCACTTGTGTGCAACTCCCTTACAAAAAAAAGCACAAGCCATGCCAGATTTCAGTAAACACAACCCGATTCTGCAAGAGATTAAGCAACTCTTGACAGGCAAGAGGACATGGTAAACAGGAGAGAGCTTTTAAGGACAAATCACATGCAGACATTAACGTGACTCCACAGACACAGACAAGCCACAGCAAAAGGAAGCATGTAAACTCAGTAGGTATGTGTAGCATATTTTTCAGAGAAATCATAATTACCTGTAGAACTGAGAGGTGCATAAACAGGTTGGGAATTTGTGCTTTGATTAACACAGGCCGCTTGGAAAAAGAAAAAAAAAAAAGCAATCCAAACAATCCAAAAATCATGACAGCTTTTAGGTTTAAACCAGAACTATCTTGTGGTCAGGCCTCTTCTTGATTTTAGCTGCAGCAGCAGCACCATAGGCAACTCACCACTTCACCCAAGCCTCTCTGGCTCTGGGCCACACAGAACTGCTCTTTGGTTCTGCTCAGCTTCTCCCAGGCCGTCACTAGCAGTTACAAACAGCATGCTTCTAAAGGAACAACACCATCGATCAAAAGGAACCTAAAGCTTGGCTGCCCACAAGGAAAAAGCGATTATGTTCTAACATTACTTTTTCCAGAAGCCACAGTTCTGGAAAAATTGTAACTCTATAAGACAGACAGGACACGTTGCAGACCTCTGTATCTTCACACAAACCTCTGTTGCTGCCAGCAAGTGTAGCTGTCCTCACATCAGAATACCCACCTGAGTACCAGTGCCAGCACTAAGGATAGAGCAGGAATAAGAACTAGGGCCAGCTTGGAACACTTGCTGTATTGAAGGGGTCACAGCAGTTCACGGACAATAACCAAGTAACTTTGTGCTCAAACACAAAGCAAATTGCAAGAACGAAGTAGTGACTCCAGAGAGGTTGAAAGCCTCTATTTCCCAAACTGATGCTTTTCTAAAAGCTAGCATTTAGACATACATGAGTCTCTCCAATCACACAGTGAATTATTTTTGTTTTCCCGCTCCACCCAGCCACTCCATCATCATCTTTCTTCTTCTACAGTCATCTTCCTCTAGTTTCTGTGTTCCGTGATGCACCATTTTCCGTACCTCTTCCCCTTTCACTGGATGATCCTGTCTACTTACCCATCCTCTTAAGGACAGATCTTCCTAACTGCTCATGACAAAGAAAAAGAGACTGGCAGAAGCTACACAATGTATATGGAGGCTCAATCTTTCTCAAGATCGAGAGCTCTCAAAAAAGCCATGCAGGCAGACAGGGCTGAGCTCTGACCACATGTCAGACAGGGACAATCCCCCAAGCACACTCCCATGTCTGCAGGCTGTTCTCTAACCCTTTTTTAGGTTGTGAACTTTTCAGGCAGACTGTTTCTACTATCCTCATTACACTCCGGTTCTGACCAGACAAGAAAAAGGAACATCACCAGTGACTTACTCCATTATAAACAGCTGTCTTTTAAATATTAAACCAAATAACTGAAGACCTTTCTCTCACCCTGGTCACTGTCAAATAAGAAGTTTTGCTGATGCTCTCCCCAGTTTAAAGGAAGTAGTAAGGTATTACTGTAGTATTGTAGTCACTGATGCAGATTAGAAACACCATAGACAGTGAATGTCAGCTTTGATTATTTTTTTGATTATTTTCCACTTCAGAGGGACAATATAAGAAAAAAGCATAGCAAAAAGTTCACTGACCCAATTTATTTTTTTTTTCAATCTACTGCTGCATAAATATTTGAACTCACCATAACAATACACAAAAAAGTACACACCTGTTATAAGAGCACAGCCCTCACTTCCACACAAATCCTAAAAGCATTAATCTACACATAACTTACACAGTTAGCACTGCTTCTGCAGGACTACTCTTCCCTTGCTTAGGGACGCCTACAATATCACAAGGTCCAGTTTTCACAGCTAATGGGGACTATCTACTGCTATTTCAGATGACATAGCCTCTCTAGACTAATAAGCCCTATTACCAATGACTCAGGCACCAGGAATACCACATATTCATTTCCGAATCCTGAGGTTGGGATGGCACAGTATTTTAGTCAGACTCAAGTCCAGCTCATACGACAAATGTCAGATTAGATAGACTGCAATGTCAGTCTGCTTCTTTGCTAAGGAAGCTGTCACATTCTCAGAGACTCAAAGGCCCTTGGGAAATGACTTTGAATCAGAGGAATGCCACCCCTAACAAAATTCTTTCTGATTTAATGGGAAGACTCACCATCACACTGCTCAAGCCCATTGAGGGGTGCAGGCTATAGCCACCCCCAGGCTGTGTCACTGCAGCAGTACACAACATCTTATGAAAAACAAGTAAAGGAGCTTCCTTTTCCAAGCTATGGCTGACAGAATTTGCGTGCCAAAGAAAATCTGACAAAGGCATGCTGCTTTTAGAACACTCCTTCTGCTTTTTCTGCTACACTGACCAAACTCCATGGGTTACTGAGATGAAGTGTCATCAAAAAAAAATTAAAAAAGAGAGTTTAAGTGAGTAAGCACATCAGTTTGATACTATTATAAGGAGAAAAGAAGGAAGATGTTCAGAGCATGAAACGGGTTAGTTGTGATACTTAGTTACTTCACTACTGAACACTCCTTCTTACAGTGAGCATCCCACTCTTACCATAAAGTGGTTTTAGGCTGTGAGGGACTCAAAAAAAAAAAAAAAAAAAAAAAAAAAAAAAAAAGGAGGAAGGAGAGGGCTTATGGGTCTGTTCTGCCCTTTTCAGAATACCTGGAATCCCTCAAAGCAGCAGAGAGTGCAGAGACAACAAGGAGGCAGGACTCAGCATCACAGCATACCTTGGTGCCGTGATTTAGCAATCTATTCTACTTGTTCATTGCAAACAAATCACCCAATGTTATCATTTGGGCTTAGGGCTGCGTATCTTCATTTCCACATGACACTGCTGCTATCCCTCAGATCAGTCTGAGGAGTGGTCACAAATTTCTTCTGTGCTCCTCATTCATCAGTGCAATCAAGTCTTCATGCCCCAAGACATACTGAATTGTGTTTGAGCAATTAAGCCACCTATACACATTACAGGAACTGTCTCAGAGCTACCAGAATTTCTTCATATCTGCAACATTGGGCTTCTGAAGTATGAATAGACAAAAGCCTTCCAGTCTGTCCCATCAAGGGAACTTCCCCATCCTCCTTTCACAGAAGAGCAGAAAAAGGCTTATGCAGGACATTCTTTGCAGAGGTGGTCACCACCCTTTTTCACAAAAACGAATGCAAAACCTCAAAGCAGACATTGTTTCTCCAACAAGATAAGGATCGTGGTTTAATAGAACATCCAGTAGGAGACCTGTGTCATTAGAAGTCTAAAATGAGTGACTTCCTGGCCTGCGTAGGAAAGCCAAACAAGGTTTGATATCTACTATTTGCATATTTCATTACAGGTTCTGGATGACTTGCAATTAGAGGTGAGGACAACAGCACAGGCAAGCCATGAACATCAACTGAGCAAGATTAGTTTGGTAGATCCCACTGCCTACCTATTTAGCATGCAAAATAGCAGTATCCTCACTCACATATCTAATTCCAAGCAATTCTTTATTCTACAAGGCCAAAATATGCCACCCAGCGCCAGAAGAAAAGGAGATAGACTATACTTTTACACTACCTCAGATTCCAAAGCAATCAGGAGTATCATCACCCTGTGGAATTGCCTTGAAAAAACTATCTCCTCATGTTATTTGTGATCAAAGTTTTTTCCCACCACTACATTACATATAATTACTACAATCCTCCATCCAGCCAGTATCAGTTTATGGCAGGAAGTGTCACTGAGCCACTACATTTTGATTTAATGCCTCTTGCCATATATTCACATTGGTTGGGCTGAAAGGTATAGCAATCAGAACATATCATCATTTCATCTCATCAGAAATGCTAATACTCCTACAGATCAGAAGAGGACAGTCTAAAACACTATTTCTGCAAGAATCAGCTCTCCCTCAAGGAAAATGAGGAAAGTGCTATTCCCCAGGAGGCAAAAGGAAACAGCTCTTATCATGCACAAGCAAATATTCACTCTTGTAATACTCAAGTAATAGATTACAGAGGCCACATCCTGAGTTTTTTGGTAAAAGATGCACGATACAAAGAGCACATAAAGAGCTTAACAGAAGAGATTAAAAAAAAAATTCTTACTGACAATAGTAATTTGGGACAGTATTTCCTCCTGATGCCTGGAGGATCGTGCTATGGGTTTGTTCAAGCAATTCTCTTCCTCCAAGATCACACAAAACATGAAGAGATGGTGCTTTTAAAAACTGAGAGCATCCTTTGAACTCCTCTCATATATTTCCTCTACCTACAGTACACATTACACCTACCAAGCTGGAATAATAAATGTGTTTTGAGACAAGGCATATGCACCACAATCAGACCACTGACTCATCCAAATGACACACTGACTAAAGAGATAATGCACTGGCTAAAGGAAGGCCACGTAAAAAGACAGAAGCTGTTACCTGTGAGTGGAGAGGGAAAAGTATCCACAAAATTAAAAAGTTCCTCACTGTTCTCAGTGCTGTGTGGAGACAGAAAGCCCTCTGCTAGGTCACAGACAGAGGGGAGGTCCAATATGCTGCTCTCTTCTGAGTGATGACTTGGTGATGTCTCCTCTCCGTCCATGGTCCCACTGTAGACATAAAAACCGAGCTCAGTCAAATGTTTAGCATAAAAATCTGAGCAGAAATCAACCCAGACAATCTTTGTTCAACTGCTCAGCTCACTTTGTGATATAAACTGTTTCAATATATTGGTACTGAAGTAGAGAGTAAGATATTAAAAAACAACTACAAAAACAAACAAACAAACAAAAAAAAACCAACAACAACAAAAAACCACACACACACCACCACAGCAACACCAAAAACCATAGACAATAACCCTCAGTCCTGAATTGGATAACCAGGAGCCCACAGTCAATCAGATTTTCCTAGAGGGTTCTGAGAAGTACAGAATCGGGCCCCAGCACTAGAACAGTACTGAATATACTCTGCTGTGAATTTACTATGTGCACAATTTTGAAAGGAAATACGTTCTTTGGGATCTCATCTCCCTCACCAATCATGCTTCTAGATATGACAAGTTAAAAGCATTCCTCCTGACTCTGTTCATAAAGTTCATCACTCTCAACAGCAAAAGAAACAAATATCCCTGCAATTTCATCCTGCAGGCACGGCAAGGATTTTCTGGTGTGAGGGAAGTTGAACTGTATATTCCACACAGAGTACTTTGGAAAGCTGTAGCTGAAGCACCCCCACATCCCTACACCCTTCTTTAGAGCTCCTTGAACCATTTCACCAGGGCAGAAATACAGCACTGAGTGGAGAGCAGAGCTGGCACTGCCCAGCTTCACAGTCAGCATCACACAGAGTAGGAAACAATTCTGGAGAGAATGGAACTAAAACATTCCCATCAAGCATCTCCAAACACAGCTGCACAACGCCCTCAGTTTCATTTTAATATCTCAGTCACAAGCCTTAGCCACCAGGAGCTCACACAACCACTCTCTACTTCTTTCTCAATACACAAATACTTTACAGAACATTCTAATTCAGTTCTTGGTCTGAAAAACAATTCAACCACAGGCAAGTGGAAGGTTATAGTAAGAGGAGATGCTGGCACGGTAGCAGAACAGTCTGAGGGCAATACTGACATAGGTGGGCTGCTGCAATCCTGGGCCTCTTTGTAGCAGTCTGCATTGGCCTCTTCCCCTTGTTACCACAACAGAGCTAACAACATTTGCAGCCATGCGATTATAAGAACCAGACAGCTGTTCCTAATGGAAACTAACGACTACTTTTTCTCTTTTTTCTTCCTCCTGAAGTATTCCCCTCAGATCAACTCTGTCAATTGCTCCAACACTTCACAGCATTTTGACCACATAGGGACATTTAAATCAAGGCTATAGTGGTCCTACTGGTAGAACTGGTGGGGAGATGTGTTTGTGAGGACAAACAAGACCTCAGCTCAGCCCTGGCCCTTCAGGCATGTGGAAGGGACATGCTGTTAGCCCTGTGCCATACCTAGGAACAGAACTGGTACGGGAGCAGTCCTCTGGGACAGGTGCCAGATGCAAAGAGCTTGTCGTTGCTTCAGGATCCTCTCCTTCCTTCACGGTTGGTCAATCTCAGCTCACTGGAATGAAACAAATAGGCCTGTTACATGCTTTGCATCAGCTTAGTGGGCCAACTGGACAGCGTGACCTTTCAAAACACATATGCAACCTGAAGTCAACAGCCAGTCATCACATACATTGCTGTTTGTCAAGGCTGGCACAGCTGAAGATTTTTTCTAGGAATCAGAAATAGCACATCTAGTAATGCCCTTGAATCATCTGACAGTGACGGAGATCTCCTGGAAAGGACTCAGAACACACTAGAAATCAAGCCCGCACCTTCTTTACAAGCTGTTACTGTTTACTCAAAACCCGTGAAGCAGAGGAGCAGGTCACAGCCGATAACCTTTCTTCCTACGAGCAGTGGGAGCAATGGCTACAAGCTTTCCCCCTCTCGCTACGGAGGAGAAAATCGGGCTGAAGCAAAGCGCTGATTAAGGGGCGATAAAGCGCAGTGTCCCGGCCCGCTCCCTTACCGCCCCTCAGGCCCCGCGCCCCGCGAGCAGCAGGGAGCCGAGCGCGCCCACCACCAGAGCGCCGCAGGCAGAAGAGGCGGGCGGCGCCATCTTGGTTCGGGGCACGCGCGCTGCCGGAGGGCGGCTCCTCCGTGTGGGGGGGCGGGGAGAAGAATACGGAGGGGAAAGACGTGCTGAGAAGAGTTGGGGGTGAGGAACTGGGTGGTTTAAGTGGTTTGGGGTGAGGTTTGTTGAAAGGCTGGGGGGTACGTGACGACGTGGGAGTGAAGTTCCCGCCACCAGAAAAGCTCTGGCAGCGGGATGCTCGGAAGGTACCGCTGGCTCCTGAAGCAGCATGCAGCTGCAGCAAGCAGGTGTGGCAGGGAAGCTGTAATGCTCGTAAGCAGCCTTCTCCAGCTCACCGGTTCCTATCTGTGGCATTAGGCGGATATCTTTGGACTTCCCCTTGTTTTCCTCACAAGAACGGAGGGAACCCGTGCCCTGCTGCTAGAGAAGCACACTCCCCTGCTATCTCTGTCTTGGTCATCTCCAGCCTTCACCTTCACTTCCCACATGCGTTACCAGCGCAGAGATTCCACCTGCCTGCTGTATGTGGGGAAGTCTCTCGAATGTGCACTATATTCCTTTGTATTGGTGCGTTCACGTTAGCACACATCAAAACTGTGCCAGCTGCCACGTCTGAAGTTGGTTAGAGCAAGGCCAAGAAATGAGCCAAGAAATGCAGAATGAAGCCTCATGCTTGGTAATTTGCAAAGGTCAACTGAGGCATGCATGGGAAAAAGGAAATGCTTTCTGACTATTGCAGCTCTGTCGCAAGGGGAGTTTTCAGAGTGTTGACAGTTTCAAGACCAGTTTTAAGCTATACAGTTTCATGTCACTGAAGCTAATGTGTATCTACTGACTTACTACCTTAAAGAGTAATTGAGATGAAAAAAAGATCTTGTAAACAGCAGGCCTAGGAACTTCATGTATTTCATTCCTTTCCCACTGTCACACCACAGAGAAGCAACTCTGTTAACAAGACTTCCTCCTTTCACAATAGCTAGACATGAATTTAGAGCATGAAAACGGAACAATAGCTGAACAGCTTCAGCTCAGCAGGAAGTGCCCAGGGCAGGAGGGATGCAGAGGGGGGTTTGAACACGGCTGATTTTTTCCCCATTGAATCGTATAGAGTTTGTTCTGTTACTCTCACAACTGAAAGCATGAAAAGATAGCAGTATTTAAATCCATTTTATGCATGCACTCTGCTACCCAGCTCTAGAGTTTACTATTAAAATTGATGGAGGATCTGACTATGCTGGGTTTCCACTGAGAAGCCCTCTCGAGCTCTCCAGGCAGCACTTGACATGCTTTTGCTCTATACAAACCTCTTGCAGTTATGCCAGTAAGGAGCAAAGGAAGGTCAGAAGACACCTGTCATTCTTTAGTGATATTTTTTCACAGTCATCATCTCTTCACCTTTAGCTGTGTTCTTTGCTTTGCACCATACCCTAAAACTGACTGATTTATCCAGCTGAGTTAGCTCATCAGATAAAGTATATTAACAGTATCCAGGACCACAAAGAAACGTGTGTTTCATGTTTTGGTACATCAAAGCAATCACTTAAACCAGAAAGCCTCCCTCTAGGCTATCAGTTCCACTTAAACTGAAATATTCCTCCTTGTTATCACTGACTCCAAACAATGATAACTGAAGGGCTAATGGGGTTTGGTGTGACATGCTCTATCACAGCCTAATGCATTACCCTAACCCCATAAACTATACTCCAGTACTTCTCTTTGGGATGGGTTAGGGTTACTAACAGCAAGCAATCCTCTGTAGTGCAAAAAATGGGTCAGCCAAGCATCTGAAAAACTCAGCCTGTGCTGGCCTTCTTTGCCTGTAAGATAAATAATTCTTTTTGCTTCCTGTTTCAGTAATGAGAAGTTTAAGCCTTTTACTTGCTGTAATCAACACCTTAAGGTACAGGAAATTTCAAAGACCTAATGATATTTCTGCTGTATCACATGCCAGTAAATTGACTTCTTTTTTATTTTTTTCCCTCCTGGGAATATGTTCCTATGGAACTGCAAGTAATATCTGACTTTTTAAGGTGCCACTACAAAACCAAGCTTGAAATCATGGTGGTAGACACCTCATGTTTTCCCCACGTCTTAACTCTGTCTTTTGGAATTTTATGATTTTGAGAGAAACTTGCTCTCTCTTCAAAAAATAGTTTTCAGTGGCAAAGCTTGAAAAACCGAATGTTGAGGATATTTAAGTACAATCAAGAGCAGAAAGGAAACCTCTGGAATATTTAGGATTGTCAGTGTTAGCCTCATCAAGTCAGCTCAGAGCCTGAAGAGCTTTTATGTATATGAATCCTCTTCTGATTCATTCCTGACATCCTCTTCCACTCTATGCACAGGAAGAAACTATACAAAATGTAAGAACTAGAGTTCACAGTGTATGGCTGCCTCACATCCTTTCTGTTCTCCTGTTATAGCACCTGGAAGATCTCTGCTCTTCTTTCCCAACACTTCTGCTTGCCTTGATAATTCATCACCCCTCCTCATTCACCTCACTCTGCACTGAAACATCCTTTTCACTGCTCCTCTCAGCCTTTTTGTCTTTTGAGGCCCCTCACCACACTTAAATAAGGCAATTTACTCCCAGTTCTCCTCTTTGCCAATACCAGTTGTGACCTTTGAACCAATGCTTCCTTTGGTATTTCATCCAAATGACCCTTACCAAAGCTCTCAATTGCTAAGACAAGGTGCCAAATAAAAGCCACACTCCTGTCCGTCAGCTGCTCTGCTCTGTTCTTGAACCTTTGCTCTCCCATCGTTTCTATGATCATCTTTATTGTACTCTGCTTTCTCCCTTGAAGTTTCCATTGGTGCATCCTTGTTGAGAGTGTCTTAATCCTGCCACCAGAAGCCTCTCACTGAGGGAGACTGGTACAAGCACATTCAGTTCCATCCTCTACCAACAGATTCAAGTAAAGAATAGACATCAGTATCAGGTTCAGAAACCACGGAGCAAAACCTATCTCTTACAACCCCCTGCCAAATCCTGTCCCCCACTTTTCCTGGATTGAGTGCAGGAAGCATGACTCCTGGCCCCTCTGACTGATATGTCCTCTTTCCTCTTGTGCTACCCACTTTGCCTCTGCTGCATCTTGAAGCAACTTTGAAGGAAAGCTTCTTATGATGCTAATACTGTTCTTGTTCTGCTTAAACTTTTTGTACAGTAGATGCAGATGTTGGGTTCTGTGGGGCCTCTTTCCCTCCCAACAAAGGAGCCTTTCTGCATCGTGCAGCCATGAAACAAAAGCATCATGTGAAGGGAGGTTATACACAAAGCACACTGTAGCTACGCTCTCATTCTGTAACCAAACACAACTTGGGGCTGTGTTAACTAGCATTTATTTGCTTCTTCCAGGTTCCCCCTCCAGAAATGTATTTCTATATTAGTCTCAGCACCCACGCTCTTCCCTTGCATTCCTGTTTCCAGGGCTTTTGTACATTCTAATTACTCTTTGGTGCCTGTGGTGCAGCTGCTGTCTGATGGCAATCCTGCACTTTGCGGCTGTGATAGAGGAACATGGAAGAGCAGATACAATTGGAGTAACACATCTTACCTAGGCTCATCTTTTGTTCTCCATTTGGGGCAAAATAACCCTTTAAGCATCAGTGATCTGATGTTTATCCCATTTCACTCTGATTTTAACTCTATGAACCTAGCAAATTCCAGTCTCAGATTCTCTAAACCTTACAATACACAGCAGTCAGCAACAGGACTGCGATAACACTGGCATAAGTGTGTGTCTGAATTTCCAGATCCAGAATTTCCAGAGAGCTCCCTGGACTCTGGAGAGAAGCTGTTACAAATGGGCCTACATATGTCTATTCACACATACATATCCCCCAAAGATTTGTCGTGTTCTCATGCCTTCAGATCTCCAGGGAATTTCCAAAAGATACTTCCAGCCTGACTTGAAGTAAATAGTCCCACAGGAAATAAGGGTTGGCTCCATGCCTGGATTTTCCAGTGCCTGATGTATTAGGGAGGTCCAACCAGAAGTGTCAACAGCAGCATTCACAGCACTTCGCTCTGGGTCTTCTTATGCTCAGGAGCTGAGCCATTTTCACTGGACATGTACATCTGTAAGGTCTCTCCTCTGTCTAGTAACGGAGTTTTGTTACAGCATGCACATTAGCTCCAAGACCATTACCTGTTTATCAGGTTAGATCAGAGTTCAAAAGTAACTTGAGATCATCACGAATGCATTGGCTTTCTTTCCCTTGGAAGCTAGGCTAAAAGTAAATAAAAAAGTCATGTCTTTTCTCTACATGGCTGCTGGAAGAAATTGCCCTGTACTTATGCACTGCATTGTCTGCCCTGGCAGTTCTCACCAGTGTATTGCTCTGGGGAATTTCTAACTAGGTTCTGCAGCTGTCTGCATACTGTTTTATTTTAATTAACTGAGGGTCACATTCATAAGACATAAGAGTGACAAGGGCTTTTGTATTAATTATACCCATCTATTCTTGGAGAGCGTCTTTATGATGCTCTTTATGATGGAGTCTCCAGACTAATCTGGTTCAATGCATTTTGATTTGAGACAAGTCCTACTACCTGTCATCTCAACTGTTTGGGTGATGGCTCTTTTGGAGTAGTTACATTGTCATTTTCCTGTGATTTTTATGAGGTTATGGTTGCCAAGCTCTTCTCTAAGGTCCATTCAAGATGTGTTCACTTCTAGCATTTGAAGTCCAGCTTCAAGTCCTTAGTCCCAGCTAAAGGACTGAAGCCAGGTACACATCAGTTCCGCTGCATGAAAGGGGCACTGAAGAGCTGGAGATGTGCTGCTGGTAGATAGTGCCACAAAAATGTTCCAAGCACTGTTAGCTCTTCTCCACTACTCCACCTGGTCAGGGCAGGGCTCTTTCCTTGTTATTCAGAGCCGGAGCTGTGAAATGCTCCCAGAGTCCTGACTTATCTGG